CCCCAAAACCCCAAAACCCCAAAACCCCATGAGCAGCAATATTGGGATATTCTGAAAGAATAATAATAATAATTCATGAAAATCGTAAACACAATAATATTTCTACTTTGCTTTGCCTTGATGAGCTCATCATAGGTCATCAATGATGACTTTCCTAGGGGCTTAACAGCTGATTTTTAGAGTTGGCTAGACTCAAATGGTTTTTAGTCCTACGATTTTGTGAGAAAAGATCTTGTTGGTGGTTCATTTGGAGGGAAATAAGATGTTAAAGATCAGATCAAGAACATTCCAATAGTCTTTGTTCATGGTAATTCAGATGTTGCTGTGGGAACAAATGATTGGCAGTTTGGATTCACGAAGACTATTCAATATTTCATGTAGAATGGTTATTCGTAGTAAGAGTTGTATGCCACAACATGGGGAAATGGAAATTACTCCTTGGGTGAATTTGAGTCTCATGATCAGAAGAGAGTGATGCTTATTAGAAAGTTTTTTGAAGCTGTGCTTGCCTATACTGGCTAAAGTTAAATATAGGTAATCTCTCATTCAATGGGAGTAACTCTATCAAGAAGAGCATTGAAAGGAGGAAAAGTATCAAATAGCAAAGAAACTTATGATGTTGGACCAGCACTTACTGCTCAGGTTGATACATTCATCTCATTAGCAGGTGGAAACTATGGAGTGTATACATGCAAAGGCTAGTCTTAACATATAATTTGCAACATTGATGATGGCTATTGGCCAGCACAACCCTATGAGGATGGACCAAGCATTTACTTGAAAGACTTGAATGACGATTCAACTAAGGAAGCTTAGCATGTGTTTGCTTTGCTGTCTTTGTAGGATATGAGAATGACCTTGAATGATATTGATTTTGGCAAGAAAACAGGGCTATTCCCCACTGTCGATGATTATCATATTTTCACTACTTAGTAATTTTCTCATCTTTGCTTGAGAGATTTCGTTGCTCCTTTATTGATGCATCTATTATCAAAGCACGATTTCAATTTCAATTTTGATTTGTTATTTTCAAGTGGACTTTCTTGCCCATATTAAACTCCTTATGCTTTTGCATGATTAAATTGATTTATTTATACTTATAGATAATGCATCATTTTTCTAGATGGGGTTTTGGGGTTTTGGGG